GGACAACTTTTGGACGATTTTTGGTCTCGAATTAGATGGTGGAAAGGCGTGGCGAAGGAGATTGCCGGAAGCCTTGGAGGGAGGGTACGAGCATGGTGTTGAGGGCATGAACCGTTTTTGGATGGTCTTGCTTTGTGGAGGGTTCGAGCATGGTCTTGCTTTGTGGGGGCGCACGGAGCGGCGCCGGAGATGGCGCCCCAGACAGCGGGATAGAAGCGTTTCTATCGAGGTCCGAAAGCGGAAGAAAGGGCTTGCTCGAGGCTGCATAACGACCTTTTTTGAGCGATGTTAGACACGCAGATACGGCTATAGACGCCCCAGACAGCGGGATAGACGCGTTTCTAGAGGTCCGAAAGCGGAGGACAATTGTTGGATGATTTTCGGTCTTGAATTAGATGGTGGAAAGGCGTGGCGAAGGAAATCGCCGGGAGCCTTGGAGGGAGGGTACTAGACGCCGCAGACAGCGGGATAGAGGCGTGTCTTACGAAGTGTTGGGAGTCTTGGGAGGGGGAGGGAGGGTATGAGTATACGAGTATGGTATTGCGGGTACGAAGTGTTGGGAGTCTTGGGAGGGGGTTTCTGGAGCTGTGTATATAGGGCATCGAGAGAGACGGGGCATAGTAGGCTCCTCAGATGTTCGAGGAGGTGCAGGGGCAAGGCTTGCCATTGGGTTGTGTGTGTTGTTCTAGAGGTCCGAAAGCGGAAGAAGGGGTGTGCTCGAGGTTGCTTCATACTTGTTGTTTTACGGGATCCGAAAGCGACGTTAGGCCTCTAGGCCCGCACTGGGAGGACAACTTTTGGACGATTTTTGGTCTCGAATTAGATGGTGGAAAGGCGCGGCGAAGGAGATTGCCGGAAGCCTTGGAAGGGAGGGTACGAGCATGGTGTTGAGGGTATGAACCGTTTTTGGATGGTCTTGCTTTGTGGAGGGTTCGAGCATGGTCTTGCTTTGTGGGGGCGCACGGAGCGGCCCCGGAGATGGCGCCCCAGACAGCGGGATAGAAGCGTTTCTATCGAGGTCCGAAAGCGGAAGAAAGGGCTTGCTCGAGGCTGCATCACGACCGTTTTTGAGCGATGTTAGACACGCAGATACGGCTATAGACGCCCCAGACAGCGGGATAGAAGCGTTTCTAGAGGTCCGAAAGCGGAAGAAAGGGCTTGCTCGAGGCTGCTTCGCAAATTGTTGTTTTACGGGGTCCGAAAGCGACGTTAGAGAGTCTGGGAGGACAATTGTTGGATGATTTTCGGTCTCAAAGTAGATGGTGGAAAGGCGTGGCGAAGGAGATCGCCGGGAGCCTTGGAGGCCTAAAATAGGCCAACCTAGGCCCAACAGAGGCTCAACTTGGGCCCAAGATGTGCGCAACACAGACCACATGGGCTCAACTTGGCTCAACCTAGGGCCAAGATGCGCACTAGATAGCTTAACTTTGCTTAAGCTTAATCGACGTTTCGTGGGCGTTGGGCACACGCCAACAGCAAAGGCGGAACATGTGCTCCGAGATGATCTGAAAGAGGTCTTCAAGAGGACCTCACCTAGTCTCAGCCTACGGTATACATAGCCGCAAGATGACCCGACCTAGGTCTCACATATGGGAAACATAGCCCCTAGGCGGGCTCAGGTTACCTCAAGATGTGGCAACATAGGCCTCACACAGTTTCAACTGGGCCCAGACTGCCTCAAGCTGTGGCAACATAGGCCTCACACAGTCTCAAAAAGAGAGAGAGAGAGAGGGAGAGACAGAGAGAGAGAAAGAGAGACAGCGAAGACAGAGACAGAGACTACAGAGAAGACAGAGACAGAGACTACAGAGAAGACAGAGACAGAGACTACAGAGACAGAGACCGACGCAGATAGACAGAGAGAGCGGAGGGAGAGAGGAGAGAGAGAGAGAGACGGGGTGGCAGGACATGTGCAAGACGGCTCTCCCGACTTCGGCGTATACCAGGTATACGCCCGGGCGGTCAGCCCCCTTCTCGAGAAGGACGCTCCCGGGAGAGAGGTGAGAGAAAAAGAGAGTAAAAGAAAGGGATACAGAACGAGAGAGAGAGTCAGAGAGAGATACCCAGATAAAGACAGAGACAGATACAGACAAAGAGAGAAAAGGGAGAGAGAGAATGAAACAGACAAAGACTAAGCGACAGGAGAGAAAGAGTACCCATTTATGCGCTTTCAGGAGCAGCGCACGATGCCCTTACAGGTCTTCCGCCACATCCCCGAGGCTTTGCTTGGGATCTCCTAGTCTTGCCCGGATGAAGGGTCGTGACCCCGCTCAGGCTTTGTCTAACTACTCCAGTTTTTCTCTCTGAGAGCCACCAGCTCTCAGTCGGCCAGCTGCGTTTCAACTTCGGTGCGCCTATACACTTTCCTCACTCCCTCTTGCTTGCCCACGTAGGGACAGAGACAGAGACAGCTGCCGAACAAATCCGCGACGGAGACAGAAACGGAGACAGAGGCAAACCAAGAGAGGAAAGGGAAAGAACCAAGAGAGAGAAAGAGAGAGAGAGAGAGAGAAAAAAAAAAGAGAGTGAAAGAAAGTGCTACAGAAACAGAGAGAGACAGAGAGAGATACCCAGACGGAGACAGAGACAAATACAGACAGAGAGACAAAAGGGAGAGAGAGAGAGAGAGAGAATGAAACCGACACATTTATGCGCTTTTAGGAGCAGCGCACGATGCACCCATCCCCACACACACCCAATTTACGCGGCTTTTTTGGATCTTACGGTTGAGTTCTCTGTCTCTCTCCTTCTCTCTTTTTCAGTCTTGGCGGGGCCTATATTGCGGAAAGTTTAGCCCTCTGGTGCGCATCTTCGCACTAGGTTGCACCAAGTTGGGCCCATGTGGTCTATGTTGAACACATCTTCGGCCCATGTTGAAACTATGTTACACCTATGTTGGTGAATGTTGGCCTAGGTTTGCCCAGGTTGGGCCTATGTTGGCATACATTGGCGTGCGTTAGCCCCATGTTGCCCTATGTTGGCTATCTTAGGCCTATGTTGGAGATATGTTCCGCCATTTTTGTTCACAAACATCGTCCGCGACAACTTTTTTGGCTTTGTCCTTCCCTCCAAACTGAAAACACACCCTCTCCCCGGCGCCCGGCTGTCAGGCGTAAGCCTCTTAAATCCGGGCCACGGGCCCGTGTCCTTGCCGGAGGCCTTCGGTTGGTAACCGAACGTTATATACGCTCGCGCCCCCTGCCGCCGACCCTTTTGTTGGACCGCGCGTATACCCCGTGTCGACCTCCGCCCGACCTCAGGTTAAATCCGGTCGACAGATTTATATGTATCTTGCGCAGGATGTTCAAAAAATGTTCAAAAACATCGTTTTTTTACAGTGTTTCGTGGCCTCCGGCGGATATGACTTTCGCCTAACAGGCACCGGTGGTGTCGGATGTGCGTGCCGCGCGGACAGGCTTAATCGACATTTCGTGGGTGTTGGGGACATAAGTTGGCTCACATTTCCCCAACATAGGCCCAAGATAGCCAACATATGCCCAACATAGCCTCCAAAGTGGCTCAACATAGGGCCAACATAGGCCAACATGGTGCCAACATACGCCAACATACCTAGGCCAACATAGGCCTAACATAGGCCGACCCAGGCCCAACATAGGCTCAACTTGGGCCCAAGATGTGCCCAACATAGACCACATGGGCTCAACTTGGCCCAACCTAGGGCCAAGATGCGCACCAGATAGCTTAACTTTGCTCAATATAGGCCCCACCAAGTCTCAAAGAGAGAGAGAGAGAGGGAGAGAGACAGAGAGACAGAGAGACTAGGCCCCACCAAGTCTCAAGAGAGAGAGAGAGAGAGAGAGAGAGACAGAGAGACAGAGAGAGAGAGGACCCAGCCCTGCACATACCCAAACACAAATAGGCCGGCGCCCGGCTGTCAGGCGTAAGCCTCATAAATCCGGGCGCCGGCCACGCGCCCGTGTCCTCGCCGGAGGCCTTCGGTGGTAACCGAAGGTTATAGACGGTCGCGCCGGCTGCCGCCGACCCTCGTCACCAAAACGGGCGGACCCCCAGGTCACTTCCTGTCAACTGATGCCCCTGTAATTTACAGTGCATCGTGTGTGTGAGGTATAAAAAACACTGTGCTTTACAGGGTTTATTGCGCATATCGAAGCACGACGCGGGGAAAAGGGAGAAATGCAAAAATGCTGTGCTTTTCAAGGGTGGTGTCGGTAATGCGCGCCGGGCGGACAGGCTTAATCGACATTTTGTGGGTAGAGGCCCTCCAAACGACTTACATTGCCTAACATATCCTCAACATGGGCCCAAGATAGCCAACATATCCCCAACCTATGCCCAACATAGCCTCCAAAATGGCTCAACATAGGGCCAACATAGGCCAACATAGGGGCCAACATAGGCCCAACATAGGCCAACATAGGCTCAACATGGGCTCCAGACGTGCCCAACATAGACCACATGGGCCCAACCTAGGGCCAAGATGCGCACCAGATAGCTTAACTTTGCTCAATATAGGGCCCCGTCTCCGACGCGGACCAGTTTCCGGCACCACCAGGGCCCAGTGTATGCCCCCAATAGCTTAACGTGCGCCCGACCCAGCCCTACACAGACCCAAGTGGGCCGGTGCCCGGCTGTTAGGCGTAAGCCTTTAAATATGATATATCATATGTATTATGTAACATCATAGTTATGTAAAATTATGTTGATCATGAGTTTCACGAGCTGCATCACAAGGGAAGCACTAGACACGACCATCCCTTTTCTTCAATCTGGAGCCTCATGAAACCTCAATGAACCTCGGCCAGGACAACTGACATGTTTGAGACAAATGAACTTCAATGCCCCATCCAAGAAAATACCCCGCCCCGGAGCTTTCATCCTCGGAGCTTTCGGAGCTCTCAGAGCTGTTGGGATCCTTCTTGAAGCGTTGGGGGCCTGTCGCTTCGTCGCAGTCAACCAAGAAGTCATTCCCAAGTCCAAAAGGACGTTGATTGGGGTATCTATACGTCAGGCACTCCATGTTTGCAGGTTCGTCTACTTCCCTCTATTCTGGCCTCGACAAAGCGGTCAATTTGTAGAACCAGGGAGACTGGTGGACGATGAGTATACTGGAGTTGTCTTCCAGAAGAGGATCTTCGTTTCGACGATGTTTGATTGACGAACGCAACTTCTCCGCAGGTCTAAACAGGTACACTTCCAGCTACGAAAGCAATAGAACACGTGGGAACATGACAAAACAGGTTCAGAAACAGCATTCGGGTTGTAAAGCGATTGAGTAAGTCAAGGACATGCCAAGTCATGCCCCGCATCCAAATTATTGGAACATCACTGTTGAATCGTGTTCATCTCATATCTTATCAAATATCATTTTTGTACTTATATAGGTGCCTTGCAGATTTCCTTATTGGAGTCGCGGTACTTGTACTTGGCATGTCACAGACGCCGCTGAAACTTGCCCGAACTTGTACTACTTACAAACCACCCTTTCAAGCCACCATGCTCTGGAATGCCTGGAATGCTTGCGCCGCTTGCATGTTGTTTTCTTTTTTCCAGTGGCCTCGGAGGTCGAGGACCTCCTGGACGATCTGAACATTGGGGTCCTCGCAAAGCTCATCCAGTATCTGGCTGCAAGTCTGGGCGTCTTCTTTCACCTCAACTGGCCGTGATCGTCACCAAAGGCTTCTGCAGGACGAAAGGACGGCCCCAGCAAGGTCGATCGGACCCATAGGACGGTGTGGCCCGTGTGACGTTTAATTGATACCGAGCTCCTGGAGACCCAGTGTTACCTAATCAAACCCAGTGTAAAGAATCACATCTACAACCGTCTATAATGAATTAGCCTAGGATATTGGCTCCAAGAGATCCTGCTTGGCACTCTCAATGTGCACATAGATGCAATCAACAAGGTTTCAATGTTGGAGTTGAGAAAGTTGAGGTGCAGTTTTCAACTCACTTCATGGGTTGGAATCGTATGTCTATGGAATTGTTCTTAATTAAGCTTGCCTCTCTTCTTCCCACCTGACTCAGCGGAAGGTCCCGATTTCTTCAACCGAGGAAGGAAGGTCGCAGAGTTCTGGGCGAAGAAAGGTCGCAAATGTTCGTGGAGGGTTTGTTTATGACCATGTCCATGTGGTCATCAGTCCTTTGGCTTACTGAAAAGATTTGAAAAGCTTGTCATCGTTCATCTGTCTAAACAATCTCTAAGCAAGTTCCACCTTCTTTGTGCCATACAGTCGATGGGCTATCGGCTTGAGGGCAAAAAGCATTGGGAACCTTATTGTCCTTTCCCCCTTCATGTCCAACTGCTTACCTTCACCTTCCGCTTGACTCGCCAGCCCAGGAGAGCCCATTGCTGAAAAGCTGAGGCACAACTGCTTGTAGAAGCCTAGAATACAGCTGGAACGGCACATCGCGTTGCAAATGTTCCTCATACGCGCAGCTACGCGCAAAACATAGCCTGCCCTCTCAAAGGTGGGTTTTTCCGTCTTGGTGTTGGGGGGTTGAAGCTTCCATGTTCGATGCTATAAGGAAAAGGTTTGCAAAAAGGTACCTCGACGGACGGTCCTTGGATGTTAGATCGTTCTTGGTCGACGACCCTTGGCCAGCAGCTAGACATAGCGAGACTCTAGTTTACAGAAAGAACCTGGAGAAGACGGACGCTTGTAAATCTGCCCATCTGCCCATCTGCCCAAGCGGAGAAGACGGACGTGGGTCAAAAGACCCATCCCCAAGGCTAGGAACAAACATGGACACAAAGCACAACAAGGAAGATCCAGCGGTTTGTTCTGATTGATATTCTTCGTTGAGGCCAATTTCATGATGCTTCGCAAGGCCATCTACTAGAATCACTAGAAAGCATGGCACTTATTTGTTTCATATGTTTGTCCATGTACTGTAAAAAACACGTTTGAGTTCGGGGCCCAGTGCCAAAACAATGTGTGGCTTTACAGGAGGTCGGTTCCACTGAGTTTCCACAAGGCGCCATGGGGTACTGATTTTACGCACCACTCCCCTCTCTAAAGGACTGTGGAGGGCCAGGGCTGGTGGCTGGTGATTCGCGAAAGTGGTCTCAAAAAGAAAAGCAGCGCAGAACAGGTCGGGGAAGCTTCGTGAAGAACCAAATGATGGCTTTGAGACAAAACTTCTCTGCAAAACCATAGTCTCCAGCTGCTCTTGAGGATAGTCCGGAATCACATCCTCAGCCATGGTCTCTCCGATCCGACCATCAAGAGCGAAACGAGGAGGTCGGAGTTTTCACTAGGACTGGTGTCACGGTCATACGGGTTTTGGGAGGCGTTTAGTTTTTTTATGTTGACTGTGTTGGTTGTTCACCAACATGTTTACGTTCACTCACATGTGGGAGGGAGGACAGTGACGTTCGTTCGTTCGTTGGTTTGTTGAAGAAGATGATCTTTGGCACCCAGCAGCTGGATTGGCTGTGGTCGTGGATGAAGAAGTTCATCCCGCCGCAAAGCAAGAACCGATCCAAAGGATTGGTGAATCCCAGGCTGTGGAATGGAGTTTTCAGTACAAAGAGCGAAATCCTTGAAAGCTGGAAAAAGAAACGATCAGAGTACACCTCTTTTGGGGGAATGTCACAACACGAAATCTGCATTTCGTGTGGGCCTGCTCATTTCGGGTCACCAGGGGGCCGAAAGGACGTGAAAACCGTGAAAACGCCCAGGTTCCGCTGGTCTTTTGGCTGCCTTTGGGGCGCCAAAAGTCGTGCCACACTGACAGTCGGACAAGCTTCGGGGTTGCATTTGACCATCTGATACCCGTATCATCTCTGATACTATCTGCGGATGCGGGGGTTTCTCCCCCCCCTGAAGTCCCCTCTTTTTCATAGATCTCATAGGATCCCCATTTGGAGCTCTGGACACGGCGTCTGAAGCGAACCACCCGTGAAACTGGGGTGGTTCATGCACCATCAGCATGTGCAGAGCATGCGCGGAGCATGGGCGTTCGGTGGCATTGCAGGTTCCTATTACTATGAACCTGCTCAAATCATTCACTAACTCTGCAGGTTCATAGGATTTCATAGGACCTGAACAGCACTAAAACGCGTCAGTCGGGTAGGAACTGTGTCATCTACCTACAATAATGCAATGGTCAAGTAGGTCTTGCATGAAGAGGAATGCATATATAAATGTTCTAAAACTTTGGCGTGTAGCACCGACCAATCCCTATCTGCATGGCTCAAACATTGGTTGGTTGGGAAATTTCTGCCAATTGATTCTAAGTTTGAGGCATCCAGTTCCCTCAACCCCGCGAAAAAACGAGACCGCTCCGACTTCACCCCACGAGACGGTCTCACCAATCGCTTCGTGGACTTGTGAAAAGCCCAGCATCCCACAAATGAGAAAAGCCCAGCAAAAAGACTTCAGCCTCCACGGGTTGCTTCAAGTTCACTCCCCACGCGTCGTTCTGTCGTTCGGTCGTTCGACGGGGACAGCGTGTTGTTTAAGCGACAGGGTCTCAATGGCGAAACATGTTGTCGGATCCTTGGGATGTAGAGGTTTGCGGTAGATCTGTTGGGATTTCATGGATTCGAGGAAAGGTACCATCGATTCAGTTTGCTACAAATTGGGTTGATGCCAAGGACAAACACCTACACCTCATCAAAGTGTACGTAGTTGTCCTGGAGGGTTGCTGGACTCAGCATAGACACAAAAGAAACAAGAATACCGATACCCAAGCCCAAGGCGAGCCAATAGGTTCTTTGAGCATTAACATTATAGTCGTAAAGGGTGATGAAGTAGGCTCATGTTGGCAGCTCCCCATGTTGGCGTTGGGACACTCACTTTTTGTGGGAAAACTCCTCCATTCTCCCTGTCGGCCTCGCCTCCTTGGGATCCAAAATGCCCGACTTATCTCGGTCAGCCACCTCGGTCTCGCATGGAGGTCCCACCCCTGAAGACCCCGTTTCTCCTGCCAATGGTCGGGGTTCACCCAAAGCCGAAGCTACTCTTAACTAAGCAAACCACAAGAAATTCACATGCATGTGAATGTAAACTATTGTATAGTTTGTCGGTCTCCTTTAGCCGAACCCAGATGTTTATATGCACAAGAGGGAACCACCAACTCAGAAGAAGTGCTAACTGTACCTTCTCAGAGTTCTGTGTGTCGCATGGGTTTGGTGGTGAGCTCTTCTGCCAATTAAGTGGAGGGCTTTGTTCTCATCACCCAAGCAACGAACTGAGTGATACAATACGAAGACCATCCTAAACAGTCACCGCAGACCAGAAGAAACAGAGTCGCAAAGCTCTCTCGACCACATCGAATGAGTGAAGCACCAACGCACGCTGGACGCCCTCACCAGGTGAGTGCCACATGCGAAAAGCCACCAAACTGCTGCCATAGGCACGAAGAAGAGGCCAATCGAGGACGAAACGGCCTGCACCCTCCCTTGATGTTGCAGGGCAACCAACAAATCGTGGGTCGCCTCTGCATCATTGTTCAGTTGGCCCTTCACCTTGTCTAAAGAGTTGGAGATGTGACTGAGCTCCTTGATTTGCCTCGGTGAGATCCAGCCAATCAAGAATGACGATGCAAAGAAACAGGTGGAAAGTCCGTGCCAGTTTGTCCCTGGACTTGCTGGGTCAAAGTCAGCACTCGAGGCACCAAACATATCATGCTGAGATTGCCCAGGTTTCAGGACTTCAGGGCTTTAGATGTTAAGGTGGCTTTTCTGCAATCCATGATCTATCAGTATATTTATAAGTGTGTTTCTTTGCTGCCGTCTTCGGAGCAAACTCGTCTACACCGTCGACATGCCATGAAATCCAGATCTTGGACGACACTCTGACGAACGTGGAAACCATGGTCGCACAGAAGACCATAGTTGACGAACATGGGTGCTTCCCTCCACTTCCATCGCTGGGCCTGCTCAGCTCGGCTAGCGCACACAGCAAGTCAGACGATACACGGTGTAGCAAAACAAAAATCTGCCGTTTGCAATGTGAGAGTCATCTGTATGCGGTTTGCTGATACGATTCCTGGGTGTAGATACTATTGGGTGAATACTATACCAATGGAGTTCCTGAAAATTCTCACTCTACGGTGTTGTTTTTCTTCCCGAAGCACTGCTTCCCCTACTGGTATGTGGTATGATGTGGTATGTGGTATATCTCTTTGTTCGAGCACCCAACTTCCCATCGCGGTCTACACGACTCGGCCGAGCAGTGCCGACCATCGGGGCGACGCTTCGAGAGGCTGGCCGGTTGGCTCTCCTTTTTGCTGGCGATCCGTGGTAGCGTAGTATGGCTTCTTGCTACTAGTAGTAATGTCAGGAGCTACTACTAGCGTCCTTGCTCCTAGTAGCGATGTCCTTTTTACTTGTTGCTACTAGCGTCCTTGTTCATCCGGGCGACGTTTCAAGCTTGCCGTTGCTCTCCTGTAGCCGGCGATTTTGAAAACCCAGCAGCGCCACGGAATCGCGGAGGTGCTTCAGGAAGCAAGGGTCCGAGCCCACGGTCACCGCTGTGCCGAAGGCTGTGAAACAGAGGAGGAAGCTGTTCCTGCAGTTGCGACAAATGGGGTGTCTCATGTGTAGTACATGTCATTTGTGTCCATGAAAACACCTAATGAAAAGATGGTGCTTTCTGTGGAGTGTGTGGGATGCACACTGAGGCTTGCAGGACCGAGGCTGTGGAAAAGGCCGACCGTTGTCGACGACTGTGGATGATCGAGTCCATGTGTGAACACTTGGCCAAATGTCTGCACTCCAATGTCTTATCTTCATTTATCTTGCCTTTTTTGGGCCGAACAGTTCGGCTTTTCTTCGAAACCCGGCCCAAGCGAACCGGTGTCCACCGCCCATTCGTCCAGGTGTCCAAGAGAGCAGCCGGTCATGGGCAATGATGCCTAGCAGGCCGAAGACGAAGCCGATCAAGGCCAGAAGCATCAATCCGAAGGCCACGTTCTGCATGTTTTGCAACACACCTCACATGTGGTGCGCATGACGCACAAGTGGACCAGGTTTTTATGTTGGAGCGCATGTGAGAACAACGCTTCTGCATAACATGTAATTATGAGAATAGGGTGACTGTTCTGGCGGAAGAAGTGTTCTCTCCTCCAGAAAGTCTTTGGGAAATTTCTCCACGCGCACAAGTACCAGTATCCCAGCAGATCCAGTCCAAGAAGGAGGTGCACTCCGATACATGAAATCTAGATCAATCTAGCCTGTCAGCCATCCTCCAAACGACTGTCACCCATGGACGGCGCCGTTCGTGCACTGGAGTCTGATCCGATGGTGGGACACCGCAGGAAGGAGAGGGTCCAAGTGCGAAGTATTTGACTGATCCGTCTTTTAGGTATGCAGCACCTAAGATGCAGTTCATTCACAAGACCTTTTGCAGCACTTGGGGTACGGAAATCAGGGCACTTTATGAATGTTCATGGAAAGGAAAACCCAGGGTAACCTCTGAACTGCTCACAGGTTTAGTAAGGTAGCAAAACATGTAGCAACTGCCGAGCTTTGATCCACCTTGTCAAACAAGTGTCTAAACAGAGCACCAAAGGAACCAAATTTCAGGAAGAATGTGCACACCTTACTTTGAAGGCAAAAGCTGCCAAGTCTCTTGCAGTGTCTGTCGAAAAGAATGTCGTCCCTGAGAAAAACGTGTGGCACAGATTATAGATTGCATTAGATTGCTGGTTCTCCTGGACTTGGTGCATCTGATTTTGCATTTGTTCTCGTTATTCTCGTCTCAACTGGGGTCCTGAGATGGACTCCCCTGCCGGATTCCCGGAATCTGTGGGATTTCCTCGACCCAACTGCTTGATCTTCATCGAACGGCCCAAGGGTTTGGAATGGTTTAAATCTAGAAAAAAAATAATGTGGGAGCGCTTAATCTCCCCCCACCCTCAGGCAGGTGGAGCTTCCTTGAAGAAGCGTGAGTTGTCTTGCGTCCTAGCTAGGAGCGAACTAGTCACCCTTACTTAATTGAGTAGGCGCCTACTTGATTAAAGCTTAATTAAGTAAGGGCGGGCTTTGAACAAATCAGTTCACTACCACCGGTGCTGGCGGGGGACTCCCGCCTTACAACCGTGACTCCCCATGACTCGGAGTTCGGCGATCCCAGGGTCTTCCACGAGAGGGTACAATGACGATCACTTTTCTGAGGGTACAATGAGAGGATACATGAGAGGGTACTGTTCTTTTCTTTATCCAGAAGTTTATGACTTTGCAATGTTTTTGGCCTCTGACCGGTTGTTTGGGCTGGAGAACTCTGCCTGCCTGCCGCACGGTGGGTCGCAATTCTCGCCGAGTTCGACTCGGGCCCGACTCGGCGCCCAGGGACATCGGGCCGAGGGCTCTTCCAAGACAAAGCCCACGCGTTTCAAGCGCGCTTTCCTGAAACGGCCGTGCAGCGGCCGACGCTACGAGTTCGGGGCTCCTGGCCGGATGCTGCGAACGGAGCACCGACGCTACTATATAGGGGCTGGCATCGCTACTAGGAGCAAGGACGCTACTAGTAACTGAAGCATGTGCAGCGACGATCCAGACGATCCAGGCCATCCGGGGTGCTTGGTGCAGTTGAGAGGTCGGAGCTGCTCGACGACAAGAGGCGCCCCATGCACGTTCTCACTTTGAGTGTAAGAGATGTGGGCTATTGGTGACAAGGGGCAATGAGGAGGCAAGGTGGGGGAGGAAAACATAGGAAAACCATGTCGCATCTCATTGCATCAGTGTGCACCTTGCCTTCATCATTGCATTCACAATGCAAAAAATACATTTCAAACACAGAGGAAGTTCCCCCAACATCTGGACTCCTGATGCGAATCCCAAAGACTCTTGTTGGATGTCTTCTGACCAGCTCCCATCTAAATCCACTTTCATATCTATAATCTATAGGGAAAATCACTGGTCGGAGACCTGTGTCCGGAGAAAGAATGATTACCAAAACGGGATCCGAAAGCATCCATCCATCCATCCATGATCTGACTCGCGCTCTCATCCATGTGTCGTCTGCTCTTTCCATCCACTTTCCAAGTCTTCCTCCTCGCTGCTCTCACCGCTGCTCGAGTCCGCCGGCGCCATCAGCGCCCGTCGGCGACTTCGCGGGCGACCGGGGGGTCGAACCGGGTCCGGGTCGCTCGTTAGCTGGCTCCCTTGCTCTGCAATCATGGAAACTGTGGAGTGAAAACCCCCTGTTAGTAGAGGAAGGCAGTCTTCCACAAGGGGCCATTGTCCACTTCCATGATGACTTTCAGTGTAATCACAGATGGATACTCGCAGAAGCTAAATGAGAGCTCCTTATGTATGGGAGCCATGAAAAAAAACCTTTGGGAAGACCAGACCGGCCTTCGGAAGAGGTGCCTAAGAGGTGGCGTTTGCAACGACGCCCCTTTCGTGCTCGTCCTTAGCGGGAAGTGGGAAATAGAGGCCAAGAGGTTGTTGGAGGGGTTCTAAACGAAGAAAGACTGTATACATACCTGTATTTCCGATGTTCTATTCATTTCTATGTGTTGAAAGTACATGTGCATCTGGAGCACTTGAACAAATGGACACATCGGCTCCACCAGCCCGATGAAACGGGTCCATTCTCCGTTCGATGGAGAAAAGCTTCAATTGAACCCAAGGTCAGACCAATTAGTAGCTCCTGGCCTTACTAGTAAGTAGCAAATAGCCACTGGTAGCTTCTTGCTACTTACTAGTAATGCCCTTGTTACGTTCGTAGCCATGCACTTGTTACACTCCCGGACTCCCAGCCTCTAAGCTCTCTTAAGCCAGGCAGAGCAAACTGCGGCAGACGACGTTCCGTTGAGTTACTTACTCCTTTGAAGGACCCGAAACCCATGGATTCATGGCATCTGTCATATTTTTGGGATTCATACTTATATGAGCGCTCATATATATATATATATATATCCTAGAGAGAGAGAGAGAATTATATATATTAATAATATATATATATATATTGGCCTGTAGCTACTGACAAAGCTCTGAAGTCCAACCATCTGTGAAGTGTCTAGTGTCTACCCAGCACAGATTCTGCACTGCTGACCACGATGAGCGTGACCCGACCCCGGGTGACGAAGGATACGATACGGAGGTTCTGTGGGCCCGACTGCATGAAGCCGTTGCTGGGCGTCATGTTCCTGGCTCCAACCAACGATCCGGTGGGCAAAAGGCCAACACTGTCAGTTTCCCGATTTAAACAAGTTGCTCGATGTGGCGCGGTGGTTCTCATGTGAGTCAACCGTATGCATTGGAAGGGGCACTTCCAAAGGTCGGGAACAAAGAGGTGGCTTTGAATGGCTACCGTATGTGCAGAAAGTATAGGACCGGGATCGTACATTCCAGGTGTGCATGTCATGCGAACCAAAGGTTAAATTCTGTACTGAAATACTTCAACCAAGAGAATCCTCCCCTCAGCAAAAAATAGCATCAAAACAGAAATATGCACACATCACAGAAATCTGCGAGCCAGGCAAGTCACAAAGAATATACAGTAACCGGAACACGACACAAACATGTTCGAAACCTTGTGTCAGTCATAGCTCTCTTTCCCGCTCGAAGATACCCCTTCTACCCCAGGGACCCACCCCACACTACCGGCTTGGAAACACACCTTCTACCGGTCATGGAAGCAAAGAATGGTTTCTAGATGCTTCTAGGAGCAGAAGTTGTCCCTCTGCTTGCAAAGGCTCCGGCTTTTCCACCTCTATGACTGGTGGCGGGAGAGAGTCTGTCCACCTCATCCACCTCATCCACCAAGCCGGTCTGCCCAAGCCGGTCTGCCAAGTGTCTGTCCAAACTCATCCATCCCGGTGGGGCCATCCGTGGTGCCCGCCGCGAAGGAGGTGCCCAAGCAGGGCTCGCAGGTTTGCACCTGAGAGTCGTTCCGAAAAGATGGAGAGGTGGGGGGAATGGGATGCGAGAAAGGAGACCTATGGGCCTATTGAACCTTTTTATCGACGCATGTTCTATCTACAAAGCTGTTAGGAATGGGAAGGTTCACCCACACGTAGGAGTTGTTCCTCTTTCTTGAGGGAGAGGATCTGTTTGAGAGTTTCTGAGTTGCATTTGGAAGTGAAATACTGGCTGGCATTCGTTCGTTCCACTTGTGCATTTCCTCATTCTCAGGAGGAAGATCACCATTGGATGATGGCTAGCCCCACGCACGAAAGATATCGAAAGATCCTGTTCATTGAGGACGTCCCCATGGGCTCCGTTCCCGGGGGCCCTTCCCCAATGTATGGAAACCAATCTTTTTGGTCCTTTGGCTTTGAATTGGAAGCTTGAGGATGAACAAACACCGCAAAAACTGAGTGACTCTGTTCAGTCCCCGAGGCGGCACAACAGGCGCCAGCAACTAGCAAATCCTACAAACATCACCCAACACAGAAAAAGAGGAAGGCTCAACGCAGAAACGCGATGAAACAAGCATCCTCGTGAGGTGATGGCCAAAGCGTCATAGCCACCAAACACACACACACCAAACAAGGGAAGTGCACACATGATCGAGACCAAGCCATCCATGTTCATACTCGCCATAGAATCTGTCAGTTCCCGTTCTCCTAAAGTCTAAAGCAATGTTCTTCATCCTAATCCGGTGAGTTGGAGCAGGGTTTCCGGACAAATCATAAATCATAGTAACAAATGCATCGCTACTTACTAGTAACAAGTGCATTACTAGTAAGTAGCAAGAAGCTACTAGTAGCTATTTGCTACTAGTAGTAGTGCACTTGTTACTAGTAGCGATGCACTTAATATGATAAATCCAACCGTCTTTTCAAACAGGCTCAATCGAGCCACTGGCCCCGTGTGTAAAAACGGGCTCCACGGGGCTACATCGATTCATCTTGGCTTCATTGGCTTCATAATCGATTCAATAACCTCAGAGTTCACCTGATCGAAGCGAACTACCACGATGTCGTCTCTTTCCCAACGAAGGTGCCCAAGTTCCATTGCCATCACGGTCTACCCAGTACTTCGACAAGTCCTGAGTCCGAAATCGACAAGTCTTGGCTGCGACTCAAAGAGTGCCTAAAAATGCTGAATGGCTTGGATGAGACATCCCCTCGAGGTGGTCATTTCTTCGTTCTCTTTGTGTGATAATATATAATATATATATATATACCCTAGCCGCCCTAGCCTTCAAAGACCATTCAAATCATGGTTGACCTGATCTTGTATTTGAAAATCCTCACATGTATAACAATGGTTAACCATAGTCTCTCCCTTGTGGTCGTGTCTCGCGTCTCACGGACCCTTCCACCATTTCTTTTGTGGGGGTTGCCAGAGATGGTCAATAGCAAAAGGTCCGGTGTCAACTGTTTTTGGGGTGTGATTGTTCAACACTATCCCATGGGAAATCACATGTTCATTGTATCATGATGCTCCTCATTTGAGGGTGGTACCATGATTCCGCTTTTACACGAATGGTTTCACCAATTAAACGTCCTCTCGTCCTCTTCCGGCCAGGGATCGAACACCTCTTGGCAAAAAAAGCGCCAGGGGTCGATTTAGATCACGGTGGGTGTTGCTATAGAGGTCAATTTGGTAGAGACCGTGACAACACGGTACAGGGTTCGGTGGAGGGTCGGTCATTGTTTCTTGAGGTTGTAATACAGGTGTGTATACTAGAGGTCAATTTCGGTTGTTGGAATTGCAGGGTGTATATATCATATCAGTGAAATGTACGCAGAACCTTCGAACACGTTACAACCGAGCAGGGTGGCTGATCATGACTGATGCCTCTGATCTCGGCTCAAAATCATCCTGACTAACCATGGTCACTGAACAATACAAGCACACCTATATATATATCAAACTCTAAAGGCTCCGGCTAGACATCTTCATTATCTTGGATGGTCGAGTCTTCTGTCCGGACCACCACCAAACAAGCACCAAAAACATACACATGTCAAAACACGTGTAAAACACACCACAGGTGACCGGAGGCGTTTCGTTCGTTGTTGTCGCGCCCAGGCGTCCGCGAAGCGAAGCACGTGATCCACGCCGGTCCCTGCGGGAAAAAAGAAAGTGGATGGTGGGTCATGGTGGATCTGAAAACACCGATTCACTGGTCCGAGCCAGGATGAGCCAGGTATCTCATGACATCTTGATGATCTTGGATGAGCCAGGTAGCTTCATAAGGAGATCTCATGATCTCAAGGAGTCTTAGATGTTACATGCAGCCTTGCAAAGTCATGGACATGAGATCGGCTGCATCGTTGGAATGGATCGACGACTATAGCTGGACGAGCTGTAGCCTGCAGATATCCTTTTTCTTGTTGGTTGTTGGCCGAAAAAGCATCTCCTGAATATGGGAGGGGGGGATGCCCTTCAGCTAACACAAATACGGGCACCCCGATAATAGCTCCTGAATGCAATTGATAGTTAAAAGCACTTCATACAATATCCCCTTACTTCATCACTAAAAGTCCCGGAGTTCTTGGACTTCGACATCCAAACAGCCGCATCGATGGATGCTTCCCTCGCCGGCCGCCGATCTTCCTCGTCCCGTTGGGTGGTCGCGGATCCGCCCAAAGGCACTTCCCATCGGCTCGGCCGCCTACGGGGGTGGTGGTCCGGTTGAAGATGGTCTTGGCGGCGGTCTTCTGGCGGCTGCCCAGAATCTTCATGGACTCGTACTTATCCTCAGGGTGACGAGGCACGCATGGGACTCCAAGCATGGCTGTTGAAAGGAGAAAGTGGTGTTGATTTAGATCTTGTTTGACTGGGCTGCCTTCCAGAAATGGAGCTAGCAGTCATCCAACACGGTCTATGATGATTCTTGTGAAATCGCATTCTTTCATATTGATTGAATGGGAGGTGAGCATCAACTTCCCTGCACTCTCCAGCTCTCCGGCTATCCCATCCCAAGCTAAGAGACCTCAACAAGATTCAATAATAAGCTACCCAGTACCTGGTCCATCCTGGTCCCTAGGACCAACCCGCCGAAGCTGCGGCCCCAAAAAAAACCTGCGAGAAGAGGAAAGGGCCGGAAAAAATCTGAGAGCGCCCGGGTGCCTCGCCATGGTAAGGGAAAACCCCCTGTCTAAATGTAAAATACTCTCTATACATATATGTACTGCATTAATGACTATATAACTTGAAGCTTTGAACCATGCATCTTCCATGTTGCACCACAAACAGAGGACATCGTGGACAAAAT